TACTACATGATCCAGCATTTCCTCATACAGGCATATATCCAAAAGAAATGAAAGAAGGGCACTGAGCAGTATTTGTACACACATGTTCACAGCAGTATTTTTCATAATACCCAAAAGGTGACAGCAACTCAAGTGCCCATCAATGCATTAGGAGATAAACAAAATGTGGTACGTACATACAATCAAATATTATTCAAGAAGGAAATTCTGACACGTTACAACATGGATAAACTTTGAAGACCTTATGCTATGTGACACAAAAGGACAAATACTGTATGATTCCACGTAAGAAGATAACTACAGTAGTCAAATTCAAATTCACAGGCACAGGAAGAAGAGAGGCGGTCTGGGGCATGATACGGGGATAGGAGGAAAATGGGGAGTTACTGTTTCATGTGTATGGAGTTTCAGTTTGGGAAGATGAAAAGAGTTCTGGAAAAGGATAATGGTGACGATTAAGCACATGATAATGAATGTATTCAATGCCACTAACCTATATAATTTAAAATTATTAAAATACTAAATTTTACAATAAAAGATATGAAAAAATAAGATTTAATGAAAAATAAGAAATTAAAAAACAAAATGAACTGCTAATAACAAAGTGTAAAAGACAAGTTAAATAGGGACTTCCCTGATGGTTCAATGGTTAAGAATCCACCTTCCAATGCAGGGGTGCAGGCTCAATCCCGTCAAGGAACTATAATTCCACATGCCACAGGTCAACTAAGCCTGCATATCACAAATAGAGAACAGATCATCTGCCACAGCTAAGACCCAATGCAGCCAAAAAAATACTTTTTTAAAAAAATTTTTTGAAAGACAAATAATGGACATATCTGAACACAGAATTCAGGCATGTCCATTATGAGAAAAGGAAAACACTGAAATTTCCTGGAACAAAACGAAGACAGAATATATGACAACAAGGGAGGAGAAATACAGGGAAGATCGAAGAAATCTAATACTCATCTATAATATAATTTGTAATTATCTACCCAGTATTCATTCTCCCCCTCTTCCTTAAGAATAGGATCCTCCTCTAGTCAAGAGGGAAATGTGCCCAGTTAAAATATACACATTCCAAGATTCTCCTGCAGGTGAAGAGGCCATGAAATTCAGTTCTGACCAATGACATATAAATGGAACTGGATAAGGTTTCCAGAAAGTTTTATTATTATTTTTTTAAGGAGTATGATCCCTAGGTTGGGAAGATCCCCTGGAGAAGGGCATGGCAACCCACTCTAGTATTCTTGCCTGGAGAATCCCCATGAACAGAGAAACCTGGTAGGCTACAGTCCATGAGGTCGCAAAGAGTCAGACACGACCAAGCGACTAAGCACAGCACATGGCTGCTTTGTCCTGTCTGTGTCTGTCTCTCTTCTTTCTGCTTAGAATACTTAGGGGATGCCTGGATGTACAATTACTTTGTAACAATGAACATGAACTGACTAGTTCCAAATTGGGAAAGGAGTACTCAAGGATGTATACTGTCACCCTGCTTTTTAACTTATATGCGGAGTACATCATGCGAAATATTGGGCTGGAAGAATCATAAACTGGAATCAAGACTGCCAGGAGAAATATCAACAACCTCAGATATGTAGATGATTTTACTTTAGTGGCAGAAAATGGAGAGGAAGTAAAGAACTTCTTGATGAGGGTGAAAGAGGAAAGTGAAGTTGGCTTGAAACACAACATCCAAAAAACTAAGATCATGGTATCCAGTCCCATCACTTCATAGCAAATACAAGGGGAAAAAGTGGAAGCAGTGGTATTTTATTTTCTTGGGCTCCAAAATCACTGTGGGCAGTGACTGCAGTAATGAAATTAAAAGACACTTGCTCCTCAAAAGGAAAGCTATGACAAATCTAGAGAGGGTATTAAAAAGCAGAGACATCACTTTGCCAACAAAGGCCCATATAGTCAAAGCTACAGTTTTCCCAGTAGTTATGGATGTGAGAGATGGACCATAAAGAAGGTTGAGAGTCAAAAAATTGATGCTTTTGAGTTGTGGTGCTTGAAGAGTCCCCTGGACTACAAGCAGATCAAGCCAGTTAATCCTAAAGGAAATTAATCCTGAATATTCATTGGAAGGACTGATGCTAAAACTGAAGTTCCAATACTTTGGAAACCTGATGACGAGAGCCGACTCACTGGAAAAGACCTTGATGCCGAGAAAGACTGAAGAAAAAAAGAGGAGGAGGCAGTAGAGGATGAGATGGTTAAATAGCATCATCAACTTAATGGACATGAATTTGCGCAAACTCTGGGAGATAGTGGAGGACAGAGGAGTCTGGTGTGCTGTATTCCATGGGATCACAAAGAGTTGGGCACAACTTAGTGACTAAACAACAATGAGCATGAAAGCCAAATCTTCTCAAGAAAGGGAAGAGCTTAGGTCCTTGGGGACAACACTGAACAGTCCTGTACAGTGGTCCCTTGGTACCAATGAGGGTTTAGAACCCCCAACAGATACCAAAATCTGTAGATGTTCAAGTATCTTATATAAATCATATATTATTTGCACAAAATCTACACACATCTACCTGTACAGTCTGTCATTTCTAGATATAATAACTAATACAATATAAATGCTACGTAAATACCAGGGCACAGTAAATTCAAGTTATGCTTTTTGGAACTTCTTGGAATTTTTCCCCTGAATATTTTCAACCCATGGTTGACTGAACCCGCAAACATGGAAACCCACAGATGCAGAGGGCCAACTCTAATGCCAACTTCATTTTTCTTCACTAAAGGAAAAGTAAACTGTTTGTCCAATCCAGTGTCAGTCAGGTTTTCTGTGGATGGTGATCCTGACAACAATTATCCAGTAAGCATGCCAGAAAGAAAAGAGAATGGGGGAGAAGAAATAGGTGAAAATTTCTCTAAGCTGAAGACTTGAGCCTTCAGATGAAAAGGACTTACTGAGTAACAAGGAAGAATGACAATGACATTTAAGTGTGAGTACAAATCAGAAGATGATTGCTTCTTGGCAGGAAAGCAATGACAAACTTATACAGTGTGTTGAAAAACAGAAACATTACTCAGCTGACAAAGGTCCATATAGTCAAGGCTATGATCTTCCCAGTGGTCATGTAAGTTCTCAGAGCTGGACTGTAAAGAAGGCAGAATGCCAAAGAATTGATGCCTTCAAACTGTGGTGCTAGAGAAGACTGGAAATCCCTTGGACAGCAAGGAGATCAAACCAGTCAATCTTAAGGGAGATCAATCCTGAATATTCACTGGAAGGAATGATGCTGAAGCTGAAGCTCCAGTATTTTGGCCATCTGACACGAACAGACAACTCACTGGAAAAGTCCCTCAAGGGAAAAAAATCTTTCCCTCATTGAGAAAGATTGAGGGGAGAAGGAGAAGAGTGCATCAGAGAATGTGATGGCTGGACAGCATCACTGATGCAATGAACATGAACTTGGGCAAACTCTAGGAGATCATGGGAGACAGGGAGGCCTGGTGTGCTGCAGTCCATGTGTGGCAAAGAGTCGGACATGACTAGGCTACTGAACAACAGCAAAGTAAAGGTACTCTCCAATGGAAGATAGGAAATGTACCACCACGTATCTTTCATGAAAATTTTTTCAGGTCTAAAACAATTTTTAGAAAATTAGTTCCAGAAATAAAAACACATGAGTTTTTTTTAAAGTATATAAGAAAAATTGAGATTGTCCTTATAGCACAAGGGAAAGAAATTTTAGTATGACAGCTGTGCTGTGGACCTAAACTCAGGAATAAAATTGTAATGAATAATTTTTCTGAAATAACAATACCAAATCTTCACTGTCAAGTAATCCAGAGTTAATGATAACTTACTAATGAATTAATGTTGAGTGACTTTGGATTTCTCAAAGGTACTAGTGATAATCATTTCTCCATTTTTCTTTGTTAACAAAAGTTAGTATGCAATTTGTAGATTTTGCTTACTTATCAGCCTTTCCCTGTGAACTTAGAGAATAATTTAAAAATTAGGTTTAATATTTCTATCCCTTTGTTCCTTGCCCCAGTAAAAAATCGGGAGGTTGTTACTTAACCTAAAGCTTGTACTCACTGAGAAATTAACAGTTAAGTATTATTGAGCTATCCCAATATCTTATTGTTTTCAGTCTTCTTCTTACCTTTAGAGGAAGTCTTCTATAAACTAGTATCTCATTTAGATTTTATTTTTTCTTCACAGTTTTTATAACAAAAAATGTATAGAGGAAAAAGGTATATCCATTGCTATTAAGTGCAAATTAGCACTCTTGATGCACTAAACCATCCAGAACACCCAAGTGAAAAACCAAATTTAAAGATTTGGAACAAATTGAGTTTATTCTCACCAAAAACTGCTTGTCAGTATTATCTTTACAGGTATATATTAGCCATTTTCATTTCTCTTATAAATTCTCTGCTAATTAAAACTGAAATGTTCTAGATCCTACTGACAACATTCATTAAAACTTGATACAACTGGGGAGATTTTTTAAAAAACCATCTCAATTCCCTATACATAATGGACTAGCCAAGGCAAATCTTACTTTTAAGAAATTTAATTGTAAAAATTAGTATTTATGTACGTATAACATATCTAGCTTTCTTTACATTCAATTCAGTTGGGCTTCCCTGGTGGCTCAGAGGTTAAAGCGTCTGCCCGCAATGCGGGAGACCCAGGTTCGATCTCTGGGTTGGGAAGATCCCCTGGAGAAGGAAATGGCAACCCACTTCAGTATTCTTGCCTAGAGAACCCCATGGAGGGAGGAGCCTGGTAGGCTACAGTCCACGGAGTCGCAAAGAGTTGGACACGACTGAGCGACTTCACTTTCAGTTCAGTTGCTCAGTCATGTCCTACTCTTTGTGACCCCATGGACTGCAGCACATCAGGCCTTCCTGTCCATCACCAATTCCCGGAGTTTACCTAAACTCATATCCATTGAGTCGGTGATGCCATCCAACCATCTCATTCTCTGTTGTCCACCTCTCCTCCTGCTGTCAGTCCTTACCAGCATCAGGGTCTTTTCAAATGAGTCAGTTCTTCGCATCAGGTGGCCAAAGTATTAGAGCTTCAGCTTCAACATCAGTCCTTCCAAAGAACAGTCAGGACTGATTTCCTTTAGGATGGATTGGTTGGATCTCCTTGCAGTCCAAGGAACTCTGAGTCTTCTCCAACACCACAATTCAAAAGCATCGATTTTTCGATACTCAGCTTTCTATATAGTCCAACTCTCACATCCATACATGACTGCTGGAAAAACCATAGCTTTGACTACATGGACCTTTGGTGGCAAACTAACGTCTCTGCTTTTTAATATGCTGTCTAGGTTGGTCATAACTTTCCTTCCAAGGAGTAAGTGTCTTTTAATTTCATGGCTGCAGGCACCATCTGCAGTGATTTCGGAGCCCCCAAAATAAAGTCTGCCACTGTTTCCACTGTTTCCCCACGTATTTCCCATGAAGTGATGGAACCGGATGCCATGATCTTAGTTTTCTGAATGTTGAGCTTTAAGCCAACTTTTTCACTCTCCTCTTTCACTTTCATCAAGAGGCTTTTTAGTTCTTCTTCGCTCTCTGCCATAAGAGTGGTATCATCTGAATATCTGAGGTTATTGATATTTCTCCTGGCAATCTTGATTCCAGCTTGTGCTTCAATCAGCCCAGCGTTTCTCATGATATGCTTGGCATATAAGTTAAATAAGCAGGGTGACAAAATAGAGTCTTGACGTACTCCTTTTCCTATTTGGAACCAGTCTGTTGTTCCATGTCCATTTCTAACTGTTGCTTCCTGACCTGCAGACAGATTTCTCAAGAGGCAGGTCAGGTGGTCTGGTATTCCCATCTCTTGAAGAAATTTTCACAGTTTGTTGTGATCCACACAGTCAAAGGCTTTGGCATAGTCAATAAAGCAGAAATCGATGTTTTTCTGAAACTCTTTTGCTTTTTTGATGATCCAGCAGATGTTGAAAATTTGATCTCTGGTTCCTCTGCCTTTTCTAAATCCAGCTTGAACATCTGGAAGTTCACAGTTCACATATTGTTGAAGCCTGGCTTGGAGAATTTTGAGCATTACTTTACTAGTATGTGAGAAGAATGCAATTGTGTGATAGTTCTTTACATTAGACATTTTCATTTGCACTTCATCTACACTTCAGTCCTCTAAGGTTGGTACTATAAATCTATGTATATACAAGTAAACAGCAGCTGCTCATGGAGGTTAATTAATCTGTTACACTTACCAAACTAGAATCTGAATATGAAGCCAGATCTTCCATGTAACAACATATAGCTCATGTCTGTACTATACCAAACTGATTTCCAGGCTCTGATTACTGTTAGTCCTTAAGGGCTTCCCTGGTGGCGCAGTGATAAAGAATCTGCCTGTTAAATGAAGGAGATGTGGGTTTGATCCCTGGAGGAGGAAATGGCAACCCATTCCAAGATTCTTGCCTGTGAAATCCCATAGGCAGAGGAGCCTGGTGGGCTATACAGTACAAGGGGTCGCAAAGAGTTGGACACAAGTTATGGACTAAACAACAGCCCTTCTCTCTCTCTCTTTTTTTTTTTTTTGAGATTTATATGACAAAGATGACACTTTAATTCAGTTGGAAAAGAATGGACTACTCAGTTAATGATGCCAAAACAGCTGACTGTGTAAACAAAAAAG